ATTGTAAAAGCTTCAATTTGAAAAAATGTACAGTGATTTGCAGGCTCATCCATCACATTAATTATTAAATTTTAATTTAAAGTTAATAAAGTAAAAAAAATAATGAAGATACACGAATTTTATTTATTTGTATCTATTACTAACGAATAGTCATACTTAGGGTATGGCGGCATGGAAAAATTTTAATTGAAAAAGGGCGCTGTGACTAGGAAAAGTTTGGGAACCACTGCCATAGGCTAATTAACTTAATCATCTTCCATAAATAGCATTTTGTGCACTAGTATGCCATTTTATACTGGATTAAGTCCAAACTAATAACCAATTTAAGTTAGTCCTGATATACCTTGACATCTGTTATTATGCTTCATTATGCCTTTTTAAGCTTTTTGGGGAAGTTTATTTGACTTTTTTTCGCAACCAAATAGTGCATATAGTCAAACTTAGAAAATTGTAATCTAGAATATTGTTATCATGCATCCTAACAGCGTTAGACCGTTAAGCATGGAAAAGTTTTTACACTTTACTAAGTCACAGCAACTCAGATGCAAAAAATATCAAAATTTAAAGGGGAATTTTCGTTATTGTATTATAATAGTAATTTAATTTTGAAAGTGAATTGAACCTTGTTTGCAAAAGGTATGTCTTAGGTTGATTAACATCTCATGAACACAAAGTAGATCTGCCCCGAGCTACAATTCAATGTTATAACAGAAGAGACGTAAGAAGTTAAATGATAAACAAATATTATCTGGTTTGCCTTCATTAAAGTCTTGATCAAAAGTGACTCGTATTATATAAAACAAATGCCATGCTCCCACTCCTATATGCTATCAGGAGGCCCATTCTAACTTAAAAGAGGCTGAAACTAAAGTCAAATGAGGATATTATTATACTTTTGGGATAGAAGGTAGGGTGAGATACAATTCCAGAATCATACCTTCATCGTACTCAAATCAATTTTCACTACCCTAAATCTCAATAAAACAAGAATCGTATTTCTATTTTTCATCCTCAATACGAACAAGTATCTGCATAGTAAACCGAAAGGCAAATAAATTGCCACTAAATAGTGAAACAACAGAAATCTGAGTAGAAAGCATATACCATACTGTATTCTGTTATCAAAGACTAGCTCACGTTGGTAACGGGCAGAAAGGCGTATTCTGATAGCTGAGCTGTCGTAAGACATCGATACGTTGTTCTCACCACAGCTTGCCCCATCTGATTCGCCAGACGATCAGCTCTAAGTCGATAAACAGGAGGACATGTACGCGCTGCCAAATTATCAGAATACAAGAAGTATTGGCTCGTAAGACGGGGTGCTATAGGAGAGATATCGGGTGGACGAGCATGTGAGCCGAGCCCAGGTGGGTTAACCACCCCCCGTAAAGGCATGCCGGAACCAAGGTCTAAAAGAAGAAACAATATTAAAACATGGCACTGGTGGAAAAAAGTGTTGGTCTTTAGGGTTACAACCAATATTATAAAACGTAGGGTGTGGTTGTAACAGGTA